TGCCTGGAGAGCCTAGCAAGAGAACATGGCTACAGAGCCTGGCTGGAGAACCTGGAGAACGTGGCTGGAGAACCTAGCAAGAGAACATGGACACAGAACTTGACTGGAGATTGTGGCTAGAGATCCTGGCAAGGCTGCTGATCAACTGAATGCTGTCTCCGTGTCATTCCTTCTTCGCCGACTCCGTCCACACCTTTGGGGACCCCTGGACCTGCTGGGGTTGGACCCCAGCAATACACAATAGAAAAAATCAACAAAGTAAAACAGCTGGTTCTTTAAATACTAATGAAATTGATAAGCCCTAGCAACACTGATCAATAGACAACACAAAGTATCAATATCAGAAATAAAACAAAACAAAAAAAGAAGGAAATAACACAGCATAAACAAAGCTAAACACAATGGGGAAAATATTGGGAGGGGGAAATATTGTCCATTCATGTCACTTAGGCTATATTGATAGAAAATCAAAATAACCAATAAATGTAGTTGATGCAATACTAAAGGAAAACATCAAGCTTACTGCTTAGTCAATTTTGTTATTTGACTGAGTTTGAAAAATCTCTGGTCTTCAAAAAATTGGGATATGTTTGATAGCCATTCAAAAGGGTTAGTTTCAAACAAATAGTTTGAAAGTCTCAGAAGTTATGGTAGAAGTAGGGCCAAAGACCTTGAATGCTCTCTGTGATTTTTCCCTTAATTAACTGGCCTTGGCCAGACTTTTGTTGTGTTTTTGTCTGGGGTTATTTTGGATGACATTTTGCTTGCCACATATTAAGACTTTCTAGTGGGATGCTGCTGGGTTCTTACTAGTATCTCCTCAAATGCTTTCTGTTTGACATCATTTTCTCTTCCTCCCAAAGATGAATTCAATAACTGAAATGTCAAGAATATTGTGTGCAACTGACATTAGAAAATGTTTGGCTTCTTTTTGACTAGTTGGCACTAAGCTCTGGACCGAAGTAGTCTGTTTAAACTGCCTGCAAACATTTTGTTGACTTGAGAAAATTTTGTTGACTTGAGGAAAAATAGGTTTATGAAACCAAGTTACATTCTGGTAGAGAAATACACTGGTAAAAGGTTTGGGTTGGTCATTTTTGAAATTTTGCTTCTTACTCGGTGGTCAAATAGTGAGAGCCTACTGTGATATGCTTTTTGGGAATATTTAGGGCAGTGTTTTCAAATCTGAACATTGAGAGCCTACTATATTTTAGTATGATATGCTTTATGGGAATATTTAGGGCATTATTTTCCAAACTGAATATCAAAGAGGTTAATAGATGTTCCTTTGACAAAATGGTTTCTGGCTAAATGAGCTTAATGAGTTTACAACATAAACTTTCCTGTTTGAGTCATAGATCATATTGAAATAGTAAAACTCCAGGTAAGTCTTGCATCCAAGAAACCAGCTTCATTTTCCTTTGGTTAACCCACGTTTTTTTCCTTAAATTATTTTTGATCATAGATTCCCTTATTTTGGAACATCCATTAAATCTCCTGGGATACAAGAGAATTCTGGGAAAAGAGGATTGAATGAGCTTCTTCTGCCTCCCTCACCCGCACCATTGTATTTTCTGGGGAGTGAAATTGAAGACCTTTCACACTACAAAACATATTAGACAAGTGCCCAACAAAAAATGGTTGTTATAAAGAAACTTATAAAATGTGTAAATGGCAGAAAAAGACACATGTAAACATATAGCCAAATTATTTTTTCTCATTGTCTCCATGTTTTAATTTGTTACCTTTTGGGGACTTAGCCACAGAGAGGCAGTGATTCCTTTTCCCTGAACTGTCTTATTGGTAGCCATAATGCTCCTTCTCTTTCTTCTATTTTCTCAAGTGACTTTTGATGCTGTACCTACAACCTATGTTAAAAAGAGGTTTGGCTTCACCTTCTCATCAAATCAAAAGCTGACTAACAAAATGAAGGAGATGATTTTGCAGATAGATGCCCAAAGTGGTTGGTGGGTGTGCAGCCAGGAAATCTGTCCCAATTATGAAGAATGTCTTGAGAGTGGGTAGAAGACCAGAGACTTGTACCAAGTGCAAGATTAGGCTAGTTATTCCAAGAGTCAAAGTGATCATTAAAATTGTAGGGAGTGTGAGTCAAATGCTCTGGTGAGTATGACAGCACCCCTGGGAGCACGGGACATATTGAATGGAGAAGAAAGTCTAAGCTGAAAAGAACATGGTTAGCTTTCAGAATTGTGAGAGTGACCAAATTTCTCTGGAAATAAAAATGCCTCAGTTCAATTTTTTTTTCAACTTTGGACTTAAAATATAAACTCTAGAAAAATATCTGCTTATAAGATGTGCTCTTTCTGTGAACATTCAGGTGCCTCCAAGCATGAAAGTGGTAATATCTTGTCGTTTAATGACATTCAAAGCCAAATACAGCTGTACCGAGTAACTGTTGTGAAATGTAAAATAAAACAAAACAACTGCCTCCCACCCCCTTACTTAATTAAGAGAATGTAGTATTACTAGTAAATTGGGAGTATTTAACATCTGTTATCCCATTTTGTTTAAGGATATAATTTAAGATACATGTTTCCCAAAGCTTGGCTCTCATTCACGTTTCATCGTGGACCTACTGATGGTCAGTTTGCTAGGATCCCAGCCTTGGATCCTTCCTTAGAAGAGACAAACTTTAAATAGATGCTTTCAATACAGTGCTGTATTAGGTACTTGCATATGGTATAGTGGGAGCATAGAGATGGGAGTAATAGAATCTACCCTAGGTTTGGGGAAGAGAGAGATAGTTTTGGGTATTTAGAAATGGCTCTCTAGAGAAGAGGATGCTTGAGCTAAGTCTTAGTAGAAGAGTAGGTTGTAGGGGTAAAAAGAAGAGGTTGGGAAAGGCATTCTGGGTAAAGGAAGCAACATGGACCAAACACAGAAGCAGGAAATCTAGCAGTCCTATAAGGCTGGGCAAAGACAGTACATTAGTTTTCTAATCCTGCCATAACAAAGCCCCACAAATTTACTGAATTAAAATAACACAAATGTATTATCTTACAGTTCTAAGGGTCAGAAATCTAGAAGGAGTGTCACTGGGCGGAAATCAATGTGTATCCGGGCTACATTCCTTTCTGGAGGCTCTGAGGGAGAATCTATTTCCTTGAATTGTCCAGCTTCTGGAGGCAGCCTACATTCCTTGCCTTGTAGCCCCCTTCTTAGATCTTCAAAGCCAGCATTGTAGTGTCTTGTGACCCTGATTTTTTGAACATCTATTTCTCTGACCAAATCTGAGAAAGGTCCCACTTTTAAGATTCATATGATTAGAATGGGCCTACCTGGATAAATACAAATATCTGTAATCACATCTGCAAAACCCCTGGGGATTAGGGTGTGGGCACCTTTGGGTGTTGGGGATGGTCATTATTCTACCTACCACAGGCAGGATGACTCAGATGAGGTAGGCAAGGACCACATCATGGGTGGAAAGCTCTGTGTGCTTGCTATGCATTGGAGCATGGTTCTTGTTTCTCTTTTCTAGTTTAGATCGACTCCCTTGCCAGCGCTCTGCTCTTTGGGGACTGGAACTGGTCTCTGATATCTGTGGCTCATTGGCAAAGAAAGTGATTTAAGACTGATTGCTATTCATTCATGGAACATGAACCATAGTTTGAGAATAGCTGATCTAGTCAATCCCCATAATTTTATAAACTAGGAAACTGATTCTTGGATAGGTAAGTATGACCTGACCAATATAACATAGCTACTTAGCTGAAAATCCAGGGTTTGACCCCAGTACCACTTCTGTCTACACTTTAAAGCTTTAGACTTTATATCTACTTAGTTCCAAATTTCATTTCATCTCAAGTTTTCCAATTATTCCATTGTAAAAAGCAAAATAATTTTTGCATTTTAGTCTTTTAGTTTTCTTCCTCTCAGTTCTATACCTTCCTAATGCCACGACCCTTTAATACAGTTCCTCATGTTGTGGTGACCCCCAACCATAAAATTATTTTTGTTGCTACTTCATAACTGTAATTTTGCTGCTGTTATGAATCGTAATGTAAATATCTGATATGCAGGATGTATTTTCATTGCTCGTGACCCACAGGTTGAAAACCGCTATTTTAGAGGCTTTACCATCTTTACCAGAAAAGGAATAGGAACATTCAAGGACTGAACATTGACATGCAGTGTTCTTTTTTCTGCTCCACATCATAAATATATATGACAAGGAGAGATTAGCTTTGTTGGTTCATCTTCCTTTTTTTATATTGTTATTTCTATCTTCCTTATAAGACTCACACTCCCCTCACTTCTTTTCTACTTCTCATTCTCTTTCCTTCAATAATATCCCACACTCTATACCCCTCCTGTTTTCTCCTGGGTCTAAGACTAACAAGGGGCAGCCACAAATAGCTGCAGTGGAAGATGTTGATTTAATTGCTTGGTCACATTTTTACTTGGGTCTTTTCTGAGTCTTTCCTCCAGATGCTTACCTAATTTTTCTTCCCTTTGCTCTATTTTTTTTCCTTCTAAATAAAATGAACCCAGCTTCATCCACATCACTGGTTTCTGTCAGCACAGGCAGGGAGTTAACGGTCAAAAAAGATGGCTATATTGAGCATTTATGTAGCACCGTCCCCCTCAGCAATTGAAAACCTTCCGTGGGGAAGCGATATGCCATCTCTATTACATTGCTGATGAGAAATGGAGGCAGAGAGTAGGAGGACAAGGAGGTGGTAAGAATATATATTATAAGTTATACTTTACAGATGGAACAACCAAAGTACAGATTAGGTCTATCCAACTATTTCTCTTTATCATTTGGGGCCTTGGGGAAAGTCAGGATGTTGGAGCATTGATCAGCAGAAATCAATCCATTCCTCTAGTGAACATAACTAAAATAAAGATCTACACAGTCCACAGCTGCTATAGGACATACCACGGCATCATAATGACAGGTACTGTGTATGGCTGTAATGTCCTGGGGTTTGGGCCTTATTCAGTCCTTTTCTCCTTCATCTCCATGAGCCTCCATTGTCTCATCTGTGAAATGGAGAAAAGCAGATATGCATTTCAGTGTTGTCTCCAGATTTATGAGATGAAAAAGTCTTGAGGGTATTTAAAAGCTGATGGGAAAGAAGCAATATAGGGCAAAAGATTTATGCTAGAAGACAGAGAGGATAGTTTATAAAGCAAGGTCCTTCTCTGATAAAACAGGCAGGGACTGGTGGAGGGATAAGCTTTAGTTAGAAAGAAGGGCCCCTATTCTCCAATGGCAGAAGGCAAGGTGGACAAATGACTGCAAATGTAGTGGTGGAAAGTTGAAGGATGCCCCCTCTGAGGGGCCTCTATCTTCTCTGTGAAGTCAGAGTTGACTCCACCTGCTTTGAGTATTGAGAGGGATGTGAGGATATTGGAGGACTGAGGACAGTGGAGAAACCATAGATTCCTCACCGTGGAGAATAAGAGAGAGAACTGGTAAAACTCAGTAGAATTTCTTGGCAGTGTTTCATGTCCTGTTGAGGATGCTGACCATGAACACATAATGACAACCCTGCCCTGTTGCTGTTTCTGCAGTGATGTTCAGCAACCTTGGTTAATAGCTAGATTCACTTGAGAAAAATCAATTCAGTATGATGAAAAACCAGTGGGGCCAGGGACTTGAGGAAGTTGAAGAGAGCAGTCGCAGTAACAATCCATAGTAATACAAGGGTAATATGCAAGTGACCAAATGGCCAAACAGCGGAATGACTGTCCAGACGATCTTCCGGACGAAGCCAGTACTGTGAGGTCCGAGGAAGCCAGGGTTGTGAGGGCGGCTGGGGCTATGAAGACCTACTCTTGCATGAATTTCGTGCATCTGGCCTCTACTATTGAATATAAGTAGGATAGAGAAGGCAGTGAAGGAAGGATGACACTGATAAGTGAGAAGTTGTGAGGGTGGTCAGATGAATTCAAGAAGCTGGTTAACAGAAATAATGAATGAGGTCACCTAGAAGAAAAAGAGTTGTGAAGTATCTGAGTTCTTGATTTGGAAGATAGAAGAATTGCTCTAGGTGATAAGGCCCAGAGAGTGGCAAAGAAAACACACAACCAAAGTGGAGAGTGGAGGAGAAGGTGAATGGAGATGAAGAGTTCATGGAACCCCCATGGACACAAATAATAGGGGGGGTGAAGGCCTAGGGCAGAGGATGGAAATGGGCTATAAGGGGTCAATGGGAGAAAAAAGGGGACATATGTAATACTTTCAACAATAAATATTTTTTTAAAAAGAGTTCAAGGAACCCAGCAACCAGGATGTTGGCTATTAATATAAATTTTGACAGGATATTGACATTAGATTCTGGTTTTGGCATATAATAGTGACAAGGAGGAGAGGGTGATAGACTCAAAAGCATGAGTCTTGAGGGAGTAGGAGTTTTTACAGGGGGAGCCAGTGACAATAGATGAGAAATAGCAGTGTGGAACAAGCAGGGCATTGCTTCTGCCTCCAGACTCTGGGGTATGTGATTCAGCAAACTCTCCTTGAGAAAGCTGTGTAGACAGTTAATCTTCAGGAGAGAGCCAGCATTCTATAAAATTTGGATTATTAAGATTAAATGAGATAGTGTATGTGAAGTGCCTGCCATATAACATGATTTTATGTATCTTAAAAAAATATATAATGTATAATGCACAAGATACTATGTTAAGTGCATTTTATGCATCATCTCATTTAATCCTAACAGTCTGATAGACAAGTATTATTATTATCTGCCTTTTATAAATGAAAGTGCTGAGTTTTGGAGGGGTTAAGTTACTTGCACAGGTCCGCCAGATCAGAGGTGGCAAACTTGAACGCAGGCAGTCTAAAGCCAGAGCCCACAATTTTAATCATTATTATACTATTAGAGGTCTGATGCATGAAATTCATGCAAGAGTAGGCCTTCCTTCCCCCTGCTGCTGGCATTGGCTTCCCTCTGGCACCCGGGACCCAAGCTTCTCTTGCAGCCTCAGCTTTGTCCGGAAGGTTGTCCAGAAGGATGCCCAGTCTAATTAGCATATTATGCTTTTATTATTATAGATTTTTGTTTTGAAAACAATTGTATCAGATTGTCCATATGAATGAATTTATTTTTAAATCGTGTAAGGTAAACCTAAATTAAGTCAAACTAAACTTTTTGGTAAATATGGAACTGTCCAAATATGTAGCATGATAATCCCACTACCATATACCCTCCTTGCAGGGCCAGGAAGGGGGATTAAGGCCAGTAATTTTGTGGGGGGTTTTTTTGAGCCTATATCTCAAGGCAAGTCTGCAGGCCTATTTTGGATGGCTTGATCTTGATTGATGACTATGAAATAATAGGGTGAGTCAGGGAAGAGATGAAAATGAATTTGGAGTTAATGTAGCTAAAAGTAGAAATAGGTGGAAATTAAAGGAATTATGTTAGCAGGTGTGGAATTATGGGAGGGCTAGAAAGGGAGAAGGAGGCTCTGGTTACCTGTGCCTCCTGTGGATCAGAGAAAGGATGGAGGAGGTTGGCTGAGCTGTTAAGTCCCTCACGGGTCTTGTAAAGGGAGAGTTGTCACTTGCATTGAGCATTGTCCCTAGGTTATCTGGGACATCTGAGCATATAGAGTTCAATAACTCTGAGTTCATTCCTAAGAGGGAAATGGTGGTGGTGGGAATAACCAAAGTACAGGAAACTTCACCTGGTCTTGGGCACTCATTTGGACCGCTGGGTCCTAATATAACTGCACACTGAATTTCTGGACAAATATTCTCATTCTTTCCTTCACTGAGGAGCATACTTCCATGCAGTGATCTACAGTTCTGCCATCAGGGCAGTGCCATTGCCCTCAGCCATGGACACCGTGTTGAGATGAAAAGGGTGCACAGAGATTCAGGTTCAAAGGAAGGGCATTCCAGATCACATTGGGGGATGGGGCAATGGTGACCATCCCTCCCCACACTAGTGTTTGAGACCAGAGGTGAGATTATCATGAGAAAGGAATAACTGAGTGAATACTGATAGGGCATTTCCCATAGCATTTTATTTTTTACTAGAGGCCTGTTGCACGAAGAGATTTGTGCAATAGGCCTTCCCTTCCCCTGGCTGCCAGCACCGGTTTTCCTCCAGCTCCTGGGACCCAGGACCCAGGCCTTTAGTCTTTGCTGCTCCAGCCGGAGCCTTCAGTCTTTGTTCTGCCACTTTGTGCCTATGCATGCAAATTAACCACCATCTTTAATTTGCATACTCACCTGATTGGCTGGTGAGTGTAGTGGAGGGATGGTCAATTTACATGTTTGTCTATTATTAGGTAAGATTTTCCTTAGGGGAAGTTTTTTTTGGTCACAACCTTGGAGGGACTGAATTAGTATATTGATTTTTAATCCAGTGGGGACTCTGTACTATTTTCCTCATCAGGTTTGTCCCAGGGCATTGAAAGGTGCTACTTCTTCAGCTTATGAAACAAAATGACTAGCCTGAACATGTTCATTAGTGAGTACAGAAGATTTAAAAAGTACCCTGAGAGCCAAAAAGTTCCAGGGAAATTTCCCCAATTTCCCAGGGAGAAATTTCAGACAACCACATCTTTCCTTCATTTCAGCATCCCAGTCCCTGAAATGCTTGGTTCTGAGAATCGTTAGGG